AAAAAAAAAAAATTCTCAGATAAACGAAATCTGAGGGACCAGCAGTTAGCGTAATGGCTATGTCGCTGGACTCCCATGTAGCCGACCGCAGTTCGCGTCCCGGACCCGGTGGCTTAAAACTCACGCTGGGTGCATGTGCATGCGTGCCCAAGATCCCGAGAGGAGAATGGAGGAGAAGGGATTGCAGCATGGCCATCTCCCCTGGGGAGTGATTTCTCGCTTTCTGTCTCTCTGTCTCTGTCTGTCTGGTGAGCGCATGCACCCTATAGAAAAAACCTCTCCAAAAAAACCCCCAAAAACAAAAAACAAAACCTGAAAGAATTTACCAGCACCAGACCAGCTCTTCAAGAAGTTCTGAAGGGAGTGCTATACCAGGAAAACTAAAGACAGATAGAAATAAAAGAATAAATAGGGACCAGCAGTTGGCATAATGGCTATGTTGCCGGACTCCCATGCAGTCGACCATGCGACCATGGTTCGAGTCCTGGCCCTGGTGGCTTAAACTCACACTGGGTGCGTGTGCGTAAGTTCCCGAGATCCCAAGAGGAGAATGGAGGAGAACAGATTGTGGCTTGGCCACCTCCCCCCCAACCCCCCGTGGGGTGATTTCTTGCTTCTTTCTGTCTCTCTCTGTTTTTCTGGCAAGCACACATGCCCTGTAGCAAAAACCTCTCCCCAAAAAAAGAACAAAAAATGACTAAGAAAATGCCATGGCCAACTTAATGGAAAGGACAAGTTTAGAAATATCAATAATAATGTTGAATGTTAACTTTCAGAATTTAAACAGAAAGAGCAGATCACAGTAACACTGCAAATTCAACAAAAGAGAGATGAGATGAGAGACATTGACACTGAACTGGTGAAATAGAATTCTATGAGTTTTGACTAAAACATTACTGATTTTCTTCTATGCTTTGTCTTCTAGATTTAAAGATTTTTTATTTCTTTTGAGTTGTTGGTAGGTTCAGCAATCTGTTAATTTTTTTCTTAAATGAAATATAAACTTTTCTCATTTTCTGACCCCTCTGCAATTGGAAAATATTTATGATCATTCTCATTTTGTGCCAGAATGGTTATTTGCATAAGTTCAATAATACAACAGTATCTGTTGCCTTGCATTAAAAATTGAATTCTTATAGTTTGTGTAAATAACAGACCAAATTGAGACTATCCTAATTTTGTGTGTGCAAATAAGTTAGATTATACCTCTCTCTAGTAAAAGGGGGAATGGAGAGAGAAAAAAATGTTTCAGAAGAAAATTACAGTGCAATTGTCACTAGATTTTAGCTTGTCCATATTTTTAGTTTAAGATCATCTGTGAATCAATAAAATGTGAAAAAAAGTTTGGTATGCAAGGGAGAGAGGGGAAAAGGGAAGGAAAAAAGTAAAAGTATGTTTAATTGACAAAAAATTAGAAGCTATTTGCTAATTATAATGTATATAGTAATAGCTTTGTCTTGACTGATATGCATGATATTCGTGCTGGAAAAATAAATGTTTACACTATAAAGATAAATTTGATTAAATAAAAATAAATAAAAATATTTTTTAAAAGAGTAGGAAGCATAAAACTAAAACTCCCTTTTCATAGGAAAAAAATAACACTGTTCTGAAGATAGAATAAATGTTTACAATTGACATTTACAAATATTAAATATTATTACTCCTAAAAAACTGTCTTAAGACACTTAACTATTCAATTACACCTAGGTAAATGAAATTATTAATAATTAATATATGCTAAACCTTGATGTCGGTTTCTGAAAGATCTTTGATTAGGAGAAAAAAAGTTGAGACATTACTTGTTTAATTAATACTACAGCAGATATACTCTCTGGCAATTAAAAAAAACTGCAATAGTGTATCTAACAATTTTATTTAAAGACTGTTGTATATTTTGAAAATTTTCTTTTGCTTTCTTTTCTTTTTTACTATAGCAAAATGGGCTCTTTCACTGTTGGATATAAAGTCAAAGCACAAGAAGATGGTTGGATTTTAATTTACCTCAATGGGGGGGGAAACAGATGTAATCGAAATGATGGCTCTATCCAAATATATTCTTTACTTTCTGTTACCACCTACTGGACCCACAAAATTGGTTTCAAAAACTCTAGCAAGTAGTTCTGTTACTTGTAGAATATAATTTGATATAATCTAAGGCACGATAAAACTGAAAGAATATGAGAGAAAATCAGAGGACTACTACTTCCTAAATATTATAATGAACTTTTCTTCCACAAATAAGTTACTTCTCTGACTTTACAATATATCTAACTTTGCTGAAAAAGTGTTTTATATCAGCAGTGCTTCTAGGGTGACAGATTCAATGTAGTTTGCTCAGGGCTTCCCTGGTTTTAGCACGAATGGCTGGTCATCCTGCCTCTTTTCCAAAATTACTTATTTATCTTCAAAACAGTTTTAACTGTCCCTATTAAAATACTAGTTATATTGTAAAAGTACACTATACAGTGTAAGAAAATGAGTAAGACATTCTAATTAAGAAAAATATTTTTTCAAGAAAATTAAGAGTTTTCTTCAAAATCAAAATTATGGGGAGTCAAAATTCAAAGGAAAAAAGTATTAATTCTCAAGAAACTAAAAAATATTTGAAATGAGTCTTTGTTCTTTTAGTCAAAAAACAAACTTTTCCACGGACTAGAGATGAAGATAGATTTGTTCTCTTGTTGTCCCTGACGTGTGTGTGTGTGTGTGTGTATTTATCCATATAAAACTTTAGAGCCTCCAAGCACTGTAACTTAAAACCTAGCTGAACAAAACCATAAACTCATACACTGTTTAAGCTGAAAAAAGTACAGATAGTATTAAATACAACAGATAAAACAAATGTTTAAGAATTACAACTTAATTTGGAAATTAAAACGCCCACTCACTGGCTCAGGTGCAGTTACTGTCCACAGAAAAGTAACACCATCCAGACATTACTGAAATTCTTTTCGGCTGATTCAAACTAAGATATGTTTAGGTATTAAGACTGAACTGATAATTGATACAAATGACAATAATGCAATCACTTTTTAATGAGTCCCTACATTCTTGAAATAAAAAATATAAGAACCCTTTTCAGTTATCAAATCAAAGAAAATTAAGAGTTTTCTTCAAAATCAAAATTATGGGGAGTCAAAATTCAAAGGAAAAAAGTATTAATTCTCAAGAAACTAAAAAATATTTGAAATGAGTCTTTGTTCTTTTAGTCAAAAAACAAACTTTTCCACGGACTAGAGATGAAGATAGATTTGTTCTCTTGTTGTCCCTGACGTGTGTGTGTGTGTGTGTGTGTGTGTGTGTGTGTGTGTGTGTATTTATCCATATAAAACTTTAGAGCCTCCAAGCACTGTAACTTAAAACCTAGCTGAACAAAACCATAAACTCATACACTGTTTAAGCTGAAAAAAGTACAGATAGTATTAAATACAACAGATAAAACAAATGTTTAAGAATTACAACTTAATTTGGAAATTAAAACGCCCACTCACTGGCTCAGGTGCAGTTACTGTCCACAGAAAAGTAACACCATCCAGACATTACTGAAATTCTTTTCGGCTGATTCAAACTAAGATATGTTTAGGTATTAAGACTGAACTGATAATTGATACAAATGACAATAATGCAATCACTTTTTAATGAGTCCCTACATTCTTGAAATAAAAAATATAAGAACCCTTTTCAGTTATCAAATCAGTATGTAAAGGAGAAACAGTTTCTCCAAAACAGTAAAGGAGAAGGTCTATTAAAATGATACAGAAAACATGAAATATAAATAAACTAAATTTTATAGTGGTTGGAAAATTTTAAAAAGGATAATACATCTTTTGTTTCTGATTCAATTATGTATGCAGAATTCTTTGGCATTCTAAGCTAGAATTTTTAGTTAGTAATTATAAGATCCTTAATATATCTAAATACATTTATGTTTCACCTAAAGAAAAGTTAATACAAATAATCAGTAAAAGAAAACTTTAAGCAATTAAAGTTACTTTAAAAAATATAGCTATATTCTATATATTCACATTAATCCACCTTACACTACATATTTCATTATTTCATGTTTTAAACAATCTATTTCTTAATAGAAAAGCAATGTATTTCCAAAGTTAAATTTCTTTTTACTATAATTTCCCATAAACTCTTACATAAATGACATCTTATATTACAAAACTTTACAGAGATACAATGCAACATATTTAAACATGTGATGAACAGCCTATTTAAAACTATTTTTAAAGGAGGTCAAGTCTGACCTCTGGGCCATGAAGCACTACATTAACAGCTTTGCAGAAAGAAAAGTGATAAGGGATGAAATGAGTGCTCTGAAAGTAGGACCTTATCAGTTGGAATAGGATTCAAGCCTGTAAGACAAATTGCTCAGCAAGGCAAGTCACCTTCCCGCTGTGATGAGGATACAGCTGAATTTCCAATGCCACTGACTATCTCCCTCATCATATCTCCTACTTTGATATCATAGAGTCAAGGAATGGCTTATAGTTTGAAGCATCTACCACTTATTTTGAATACATTTTGTCAAAGTCTCCAACTGAGATAATTATCTTTGTCCTTTAACTGGCAACTTGGTGTTAAAAGTAAAAATCTTAAAAGGGTAGTCACTAATAGAAACTTCTATACTATTGTGAATTGGTCCTTTAAAGAATGATTCTATCCCAGGTTTTTAAATAAATAAACAGCTTGTTATTTAAATCATTTCAGCAATTGGTTTTTTATAAATTTATAGCGCAAAAATTTAGCAAAGTCCACAAATTGTCTCACTTTAGTTACCTGAACACTGACTGACTTTTTCAGCAGTTCTTCTACAAAGTTCCAATTTGATTCCATTTTTCTCTAGAAAGGGAAAAAATATTTTTGCATCAAAATGATTACTCTTGCTTGTGCATGTAATTAAAATCATGGTATAGCAAACTGTAAAGTACATTTTCTCTATCATCAGACATCGTTGCCACTTCTTGAATGTCTAAGAATTACTTGATAGACTTGGGAGAAAAAAAATTCACACTATTTCAATCCAATATACAACTTATCTGGAGTTGTTTTATTAAACAGTGGCCCTACCATAAGATTATAAATATATTTTACAGGAAAAATAAAAAAGCCTTATATGTCTATACGTATTTTTTTGGAGATATTTAAGCTGAGTATTTTCTTATTCTCCACTTCACTGATCAGAAATTTTCCCTTCATTTTTTACAAAAATAGGCCTAAGAAATCAAGGTTAGTAAACAAAATAACCAAAAACTTTATACGGAAAATAAAGAGAAACTTTACATACTGCTAGCTCAGTTAGCCAATGGTCACCTATCTGGCAAACTCAATTACCTAGAATACTCACTACAGTAAGAAAGCAAGCTAAAAAAAACTCTCACAAAGGGGAGGCACTGAAGACAATTTACATTCTTCCAATAGGAAAGCCTGATGGATATTCTCATAGGATACCTAGTTTACTTTCTAGTTCCTAAAGGTCTGAGTCTGTGGCTACTGCTCCAACCCAGATGCAAAGAAAAGATCTCCAAGAAAAAGACAGTAACAACTAGCTTATAAAGGGAGGAAAACATGTATAAAATATTCATAAGACCTTAAAAAGAAAAGCCAGAGGCCTTAAAGAATAAAAGCAAAGATCCTCATGATACTCTACTATCTCTTGTTTAATAAATTTGATGTTTATAAGGATGAATCCCAGACCAATAAAGGGAATAAAGCATGTTCAGTATTTGTGATGCTCTTGTAAAATGCTAACTACAGTAAAATACTAAGTAAGTATCTCTTTAACAACAGTGCTTAGAGACTGTGGTAGCCAGCTTCTAAAATGGCCCTGAATGACATCTGTCTCCCGGTATTTACATTTTATATAATCCCTTCTCATGCTGTGCCAGGGTTGGCTTATGAGCAGTAGAGTGCCAACACTATGAGTAATGGTATTTCACTTCCAAGATTAAGTTACATACAAATGAAGCTTCCATCCTGACAACACTTTCTTGCTGTTTTGAGCTGGGAAAATATCATACCGTAAATAGCCCTGTAGACTCCCTTATGAGTAACTGAAGCATTCAGTCAACATTCATGAGACTAAAAGCAAACCTTGCAGCCCCAGTTAAGTATCCAGAGATTGAAACCCCAGCTGACACCTTGACTGTAACCTTATGAGTCTGAGCTAGAAGCACCCAGCTAAGCTGCTCCTGAATGCTTCACTCTTAGAAACAGGTACTTATTATTTTAAACTACAAAATTTGTTACATTGCAATAGATTACTAATACAATGACTTACTTTTAGCAAAAGCGTGTTGACTTTTTGAAATACATTTATATAAATAAAGTGAATGTAAAAAAATACTTATCAGAAGAGAATATGAAATGAAGAATAAGCCTTAGTGTCTGAAAGGTAATCTCTGGGTCCTGGGAAAGCTATGCCTGATAGGACCACCTTTATTTGCTGGAGTCAATCACACTGGACAGTTTAATAATGGGAGAATGGCGGTTGGCCACGCCCAACTACAGAAGATGGCCCCCAACTTACAATGGTTTAACTTATGATTATTTTTACTTTTCAACAGTGGCAGTGTTAACACTCTGCAGAAGCCATACTTAAAGTATTCATATGATCTTTGTTTTTCACTTTCACTACAATATTCAGAAAGTTACATAAGCTATTCAACATTTCAACACTTGATTAAAAAATAAGCTTTGCACTAATTTTGTCTAACTGTAGGCTAATGAAAGTGTTCTGAACATACTAAAGGTATGTTTAGGCTAAGCTATGATGTTTAGTATGTAGCATATTAAATACATTTTCAACTTCCATTATTTTCGACTTAAGGGTTTATTGGGACATAACCCCTTCAAAAATCAGGGAGCACATACAGTCTTAGGGAAACGTCTGTGCTAGGCTCTTCATATTATTTCTTTAAAATGTCACCACTAGTGCCAAGTAAATACTCCAAAAAACAAATATGACTAAATCCAAGGACTTTGGTGCACTTCAGTTGGACACTGAGACTAACATGTGGACAACCAATAAGTCATGCCTACGTAATGGAGCTCAAGTAAAACTATGAACACTGAGACTCACCTGAGCACTCCTGGTTAATAATACTCCCTGAAACACTGCCACACTGATGCCAAGAGACTAACATACCCTGAACAGAAGCTCCATATTTGGTACTTCTCCTGGATTCTGGACTGTGCTTCTTGGTCAATTTTTTAAGAGATATTTTTGCTATAGGGTGTGTGTGCTCACCAGAGAGACAGAGACAGAGAAACAGAAAGCAAGAAATGATCCCGCCAGGAGGAATGGCCACACCACAATTCCCTCTCCTCCATTCTCCTCTCAGGATTATGGGAAGGCATGCACATGCACTTGGTGTGAGTTTTAAGCTGCCCAGTTCAGGACTTGAGCCACAGTTGACTAGTAGATGTCCAGCAACATGGTTCCTCATGGGTTAATTGTAATTTATCTATGTTCTTTTTTAAAAAATAATTATTTTATTTAACCTTATTAATTCATTATTTATTTATTCTGACCAGAGGGACAGAAAGAGAAAGAGAGAAATTGCAAAAGCAAGCTGCCAGGTCCAGGACTAGAACCGTGGTCAACCATGTAGGAGTACAACACCCTTAACCACCATGCTACCTGCCACCCCTTAATCTATGTTCTTTTCCTGCATAACCATGGTTTAGTAGCTTTCAGTGAGTTCTTCTGAGTCCAAGCAAATCAGCAAGCCTGAAGGTAGCTTTCAAACTCCTGGGCTTATAATTGGTGTCATAAGTGAGAGCAGTCTTAAGAAATGAACCATGAAACTTGGAAGCTGACTTTAAAACTCCCTCAAATAGGGAGACCATTTCGTTTGGTAGCTGACTTTAAAAGTCCCTCAAATAGGAAGCCCATTTTGCTCTATAAATACTATGTATTTGTACACTGGGTTAGGCTCTCCATATTATTTCATAAAAATGTCACCACTAGTGCCAAGTAAACAGGAACATGACATGGCTGATATAATTTAAGTTTTAGCATTACAATTGAATAGTCTTAATAAGTTTACTTCAATTGCTATGTTCTATCAAGGCATTTGAATCACGAGATTTATAGAAAAGCAATAAAATTACTTTTTAAAAAGTTTATTTACTATTTCTTTCTCAAGAAACTAACAGAAACACCCCCAACAGGGTTTTTATGTAATAATCCATCCCATGCTTCAGGAAGCCAGGATCACAGGCATCCATTTGTATCCATTTCCTGCTGTGCAAAAGAAGACCTTAGGGCACAAATATGGGACCACGCCACATGGCTTCAGCACCACAGAAGCAAGTGCTGCATCACTGTTGTGTCACTGAGGCTGGCCAAAGTAGTGTAATTTTTACCCTAGGAATTTCAACTATATGGATCAGTATTGTGGCTACAGTCTGAAACAAAAACAAATGATAACTCTAAAAAAGAATGTCAATTATATCATGCCCCAATCAAATGTGAGAATATACATCAAAGATGAACAGATTTTTCTTCCACAATAAAATTTAACTTTGAGCTGCTCCACCATTTTTTTCTTATTCCAGACTACACCACTATAATCTCTTCTCTACATACCGATTGAATTTTATTGATAGAAAGGTGGTATAAAGTCATCAAAGGGGCTGTTTTATATTTCTCATCCCATTATTAAAACTAAGACACCCATTTAAGCTTTAGTATAGGTAGTTATCACTACCAGAAATATAAAATAGATTCCCCCCACTCTACACTTCCAGCAGACTATATAGCCTAGTTCATCTCTCATTTTAAGGTTACATTTCTCATTTTTAATCTAGTTGACATTTCAGACATTTAAAACATGAGCACTGGCTAGTATTATGTTCCAGGCAAAAGCACTGATAAAACTGACCCCTGCAATGCCTGAAAGTAATTTTTCTGTTGAAACTGTATTTGGCTCTAAAATACATGTCTAAGATTGTGAAAGAATAACATGCTCTCATCTAGGCTGAGAGAAATGCATTAAATTAGAACTATATGAAATCTAAAGCCTCTAATGTGAGGCTTGAGACATTGAGTTTTTCTTATAAGCCTATACTATCATTTAAAAAAACTTTAAATCTACATATAGCAAAACCCCAAGTTACAAAGAACATATAAAGAGTAATCATATCTGAAATCTACTTAAAATGTAAAGATTTTAGACTAAACTTAAAGAGAAAGTAGTTTACAATTAAAATCTGAAACATTTAGTAATATATTCACAATCTAGAGGTATTTCTCTACTGAAAGACCTATGATTAGCTATTATTTCCACATTTTATGTCTCACCCCAGATTTCTACTTATTTATTTCATGATAGAGCATGTGCATGCATGAGAGAAAAGAAAGAGAAAGTCAGAAGGACACTCCACAGGGTGTGGTCTTGCTACAATCCCCTTCCTCAAGCCCTCCAGCTTGCCAGGATCCTGGGCACATGTGCGTGCACTTGGTGTATCTCAGGCCAGCTGGTCCAGAAATTCACACACTAGATGTGTGGTTTCCAGCTCTGTAGTCTGGTATGGCACTAATGGCACCACTGAGTTTGGGCCTCTTTAGTAGAATAAAACATGCATGCTACTACATAACCAATTTCTCTATTGAGTTGACTAGGCTAATTTGTAAGAATCAAACGATTTAGTTGATTTCCAAATTCTGATCTACATATATTTTTAGAACCAAATTAACATCCATTCTATATAACCTCTCTGAAAAGATGAGCCAGGGCCAGCCTATGACATGGTAGATAAGGCCAAGAATGGTTCAAGTCCAAGACCCGGAAGCTTGAAAATCACACTGGGCATATGTGTGCATACACGTACCAAATCCTGACAGCAGAATGGAGGAGAAGGGATTGTAGCATGGCCATTCCCTTTGGGAGTGATTTCTGACTTTCTCACTGTCTCTTTATCACTCCAGTGAGCACATATACCCTACAGCAAAAATCTTAAAAAGAACTATCTGGTTTATCCACTAAAATAACAACACTGAGACACTTTTTCTTTATTTAAAGACAGCATCTCTTGTCACAATCCTCCTGCCTCAGACTCACAGCTGGGTGTGCAGCACCACTATAACTGGTTCTTTTTTTTTTTTTTACACAGGGTCTTGTTTGTTACTCAGGTTCGCTTTGCACTAGTGATCATTCTGAGTCAGCCCTCTGGAGCTGGTTGGGATTACAGGCACACACTACCCTGCCCAGCCTTTTATGTTGTACTGGGAATCACCCAGCCTCTCATGTGGTTCCATCTAGCAGAGCACAGCATCTTAGCAATGCATGCTACTGCAGCTGGGCCCAAACTGAGACACAGAAAAGAGAAAATTAACCAGTTGGGTGGATGAATAATGGGCATAAACTGGGAAGACCAGGAGGTGGCAGAGCAGTAACACTACTACACTCACATAGCAAAGGTCCTACATCTACATCCAGACTAGTTGAGACTGGAAGACCCTAGAGGGGATTTCTCTCCATCTCTCTCTCATGAGAGAAATAAACTTTACTTTGGAAAAGGTACAAGTTATGACAATCCCTGTTATACTAAATGCATGGTTACTCTACTGAAGGTGTAGTCATAGAAACAATCCTTAGCAGAACTCTAATCTCAAGTTTATCCAAGTGATAAAATAGGGTGCCATTTAATCACTGTCTACCTCAATTTCTTCACCTGTAAAATGGATGTAATAATATCCTCTCAACTAGTTCATAACATTTCACTGAGATTAAAAATGGATGGTCACTGTGAGATTTAATATTGTAAATGCAATATGTATTTCACATGTAAAAAAAACTATTAACTAGAGAGTTTGGATTTCTCTTTAAAAATCTTTAAGAAGTCCAGAAATATTCCAAAGTGAGGACTTATAAAGGGAGACTTTATTTTAAATGCATGTAAACACATAAATATTATACAACCTTATTTTTTATTACATGAAAGGCTCCTTTTTAAATATCATGGCTCTTTCCTTTTAAAACATTCTATATGAGATAGATTAAGAGTTTTAAAAATATAAGTATCTTGGCAAAAGGAAGTCATTCAGGAACTGATGACAAATATCAAAGGACACAAGATTCAGTTATTTTAAACAGCCAACTCACTGTCTTGATTCAGAGCTAATAAGAGCAGTAATGTTCTTTGGAGTTCTCTATATATGATAGAAAAGTGATTTCAGCAAATGCAACTGTGGGTGGTTATAGCAGTGCAATTCAACATTCCAAAAGTAATAGTAATGGTATATACTAATATGGCTAGATTACCTACCACGTTGGGAGAATGTGGGAAGTAATATAAACCACTTTTGAAATATACCACTCCCTCAAGTGTTAAGGCAGTCCCAAAATGCATTAATAACCTAAAAGCAGGCTCTTTGGAGGAAGGAGTATTATCTGTTTTGTGTGTACTCTCTGCTGGCATATATTATAACACACTGTAGGAACTGTGTGCTTAACCAATTATCATACTTTTATACATTGATTATAATGAGAAATACATGCTTCAAGGAATTAAGATTGGGAAGTAATAGAAATGAAAATGTTTAAGACCTTGGAATTATAGCTAAACTTAAGTTCTTTCTATGTTATCACTATTATAATTAAAAGATGTGAAACATTGCTATATTCATTCCACAGAAATACTTAATATAAGGGCTACTACAGTAATAATGGCCACTTACATTTATTGAGTATTTATTCTATATTATGGTCAACAGTCATTGGCATAAACATAGGACAAGTCTTAGCATTGGTAGGATATTTAAATATTCATACTGAGCTGTGTATGAACTTCTCAAGAGTACTTTCTGACTTATTATTTTTCTTTACTTTAGGATCTCCTAAGGGCCTTTTCTTATCAGGGGGATCATTTAGATGAGTTCTTGAGACCCTTTCATATCTATAATGCTATGTAAGTACTAACTAATCCTCAGAACCTACAGGTGATGTCTTAGGGATGAGTCTACAATATGCTTCAAAGAGAAAGATCTGTAAAGCCTATTGAGGGCCAGGTTTCATAAAATTCCCCATATCTCACTTTTTTATTTGTAGTAGTGAGTCTTTTTATAATCATCTTATAAAAGATTGACTAATTTTAGTTATCACTTTGAAGACTCAACTTCTAGAGGTTTTGATTCTTTGTTGTCTGTTATTTTATAACATTTTACAATTTTTATTTCCTTCCTTTTACTTTGGATTTACTGTGAAGGGATTACCTCACAAAGGACAAGAAACAAAGAATTATTTTAAAATAAGGATTCACAAACTCCAAATTAAGATTCACAAATTCACAAATCAGGAGATTCACAAATCTCCTAAAATGAGACCTAGAAAAATAAAATTTTTAAAACTCACAAATAAGATAATCATCTAGGTTTGGGAATCATTCTTGCAAAAATGAATGACTTAAAATTCAGGGACAGCAGGAGGCATGGTAGTTAAAGTACTGGATTACCACATGGCTGACCACAGTTCAAGTCTCAGTTCAAGTCCCAGACCCAGTGGCTTGAAACTCATGCCAGGCATTTGTGTGTGCAGGCCCAAAATCCCAAGAAGAGAATGAAGGAGAAGGGATTG